GTAAGTGTCGGGAATATGTCTGTGTGACTATGTGGAAAATAAGAGGAGGAGCGAGAAATGCTCGCGCCAAGAAGAAGGTGAATCCTCCAAACGAGACGAAACTTAGCGGGAAAACGGCCAAGTAGTGCACCGTTGGACCAGTACAGTTAGACGATAGCGAGACGCGAATGCCATGGAAAGCGAGAGTGGAACTTGGTCACGGGGTCGCGTCCTCTTGTTCGTTGCTTATCGGTGGAGACAGATTTTATGCTCAGGATAACCCAGTGTTTTTCATATCTTGTATCTTTTCTTTGCTTTAAAGTTTCATGACCGAGGAAGGCAACTTATATATTTTTGCGAAGATTTTACTTTACGTGCGAGTGTAGAAATTTAAAGTTCGTTTACAATGACTCGCAAAATGCGCTGACACAACGCAAGTGGTGGAAAGATATAGAAGAAAATATCTACTCTCATGATAAGACAAAATAGAATAACGTTATTTTCAACAGTTTAACATTACTTTGCAAACTTCTGCTTATTTTCCTTATCAGCGTTAGCAGATATTTCCCAAAGCACATGGTTACGAACTACAAAGGCAGATAAATAACTCGGTCATTCTAGAGTCACTTAATAACCTCAAAGAAGAAATAACGGCTTCCCTTTTGAGAGAAAAAAATGTATTAATGTGCGCATACACGTATATATAGAAATATATACACGTACACAGACAAGTATATCCCAAACACCTTTTTTCGATCAGTAGACGAGAGAACAGCCAAACGACGGCACACCATAACTACATCCATTAAAGGGAGGGAGAGAACGAGGCACGGGCGGGCTTAAAACGGAAGACGAGGGTGCTGGACGAGAGCCAAGAGGAGGAAGAGGAGGAGCTGGAGGACGAGGTGGATCTCCACGCCGGAGGGCTAAGTCGGCCTCGAAGAAGATGACACTCGGATTGCGGGAATCCACTCCCGCGGGTGTCTGGTAACAGTGCCTCGAGGCGATACGTGCGGTTTCCGTGTTATTTTGGGCTTCATTTCGCTTGCGTGGGCCGATGAGTTTTGTGTTTTTAGCTGTGATTGAATTGAAGTTTATAGTTTCATTGTTTTTATTGCGTTTTTATTCATTTATTTGTTTATTTTGTCTCGATCTTATTTTTCACTCTATGTTTCTCTTTCATTCCATTCTTCAGCGTAATTATATTTTGAAGTTAAAAGTATCATTTCGTGTTCATATGACTTCGTTCCTGATATTTATGTATATCCAGAAAAAAATATTAAAAATTAAGATTTCAAAACAAGACTAATTTTTCACTTACGATCTGTTTACTTATACATCGTTTATTAAGTAACATTACTTGGATTCAAACAAAAATAAGACAGAGAGTAAATGTGTGTGTATATATATATATATATATATATATATATATATATATTCAGATAAGGAAATAGATAGCTAGAGATCGATATACAACGTTATTGAGGATTATACAGATAGATATATTAAGAAACATATTCTCAAAAGATCCCTTAAACACTTCGATCATATCCAAAGTCTTTAATATCTTCACAAGCAAACTCGTTTAAGTCAAGAATCCCGAAGGAATCCAGCCGAGGTCAAAGCAAGCCGTGTGCTTGACCTGGCTTGCGATAAGCAAACTTGAAAGTGATGACACGTGCCGGCATTCTAGAATCTTCTTAATGATGAGTTTGGATTTCTCAATATCTCTTTATGCCTCGTTTTCTTTTTGTGTTTCTTCGCTTCACTCTGTCTCTGTTTTCTTTTCGGTTTCCCTTTCGTTTTCGTTTTGCTGTCTCTCTTTATAACAGCTCTGTGTTTTCCTTTCTCGTTATATGAGTTGTTGTTCTGCTTCTGTGCCTCATTCTGTCTATTTTTCTCTTCTATATCCCTCGTTTCGCTTTTGTTTCTCTATTTCTCTTGTGTATCTATCTAACTATCTAACTATCTATCTATCTATCTATCCGTCTTTCTGTTTCTGTCAAGCTGACTCTCTATGTATACTTTTGTCTCTTATGTTTCTTCCACCAGTCTTACTCTCTACTTTTATTTCTCTCTTTTCATTTGGCTTTTGAAATGCTGCGATAATGCATACAGTCTATTTGAACGTGAAACGGATTCAAATGGTCATATGAATTGAATTTTCAGTGATTTATAACTTCGAAACCTCAAAGATTCGAACGCTCAAAGATCCGAAGCTTCGAACAACAAATTCGTTTCAACCGATTCTCACCCGCAGTGCGAATATTTTCATTTTAAACTCCTCTCCCCCCACACACAAAAAAGAACACAAACACACACACACACACACACACACACACACACACACACACACACACACACACACGCACACGCACACACACATATAGATATACTTCCATATCCCCGTCTCTGTCTCTCTCTCACCTTCGCACGAATTTCTCAGCGAAAAATACTTGAGGGGAAGACAGAATTACTTCCCTTTTTAGGAGTCTGGATGACAAAGGGAAGCTCGGGGCAACAAAGGAAGGACGACACACGGAGGTAGCGAGAGTGAGCGTGCTTCGAAAACATCGCTACTCTGGAGGCAAAGAGAGGCATCATTTTGTTGTTGTTTTTAATGTTGTTATTTTAATTGTTGTGTTGCCGTTGTTGTTTTAAATATTTACTTTACTTTTATTATTATTAGTGTTATTGTTATTATTGTTAGTGTTATTATCATGATCATTATCGTTACCATTATCATCATCATCTTTATCTGTTTATTTAGTTTTGTAAACGGATGAAAATCTGATAATGATGGCGGTGATAATGCTAACGAGAGTGATGATAATATATTAAGAGGGATTCAATATTTATGAGCGATAGAGGCAGTTTCATCAATTCTCTTAATGGATATAGTGATATTTTATACAGACGATTATGTATCTACTTGATAATCATGCTGGTGCATTGGTCTTTATGTCTGTCTGCCTGTCTCTATCTCTGTTTATCTGACTCTCCGTTTCTTTCTTTCTTTCTCTTTCTCTTATCTCTTTCTCTCTCTCATTCTTCTCTTCTCAACTCCTCTCTCTCTTCTCTTCTCTTCTCTCCTCTCCTCTCCTCCCCTCTCTCTCTTTTCTCTCCTCTCCTCTCCCCTCTCTCTTCTCTTCTATTCTCTCCTGTTCTCTTCTCTTCTCTTCTCTCTCTCTCCTTCCTCTTGCCTCCCTCCTCCTTCCCCCTCTTCGTCAATCTACCGTCCTTCGTGTCGTTTATTCTTTCCACTCCACTTCCGATTCTCCGTCCTCGAGAGGCCGGTTCATCCCAAGAGCAAAATAAAAGTACAACACACGCGGTGCTCATCCCACGCGGCCGGTCTTTGAAGCAGCGAATACTTGAATACTGATGATGGCACAGATGGGCATTGCGATGGAGGGGGGGAGGGAGGGTAGAGGGATGGGGAGTGGGGTGGAGAAAGGGGAGGGCGTAGGTAATGGGGGGAGGGAGGGGGAGGGCGAGAGGGGGGGAATGGGGGGGTTAGGGAGGGAAGGGAAGAGGTGTCAGAACAGTAGATGATGTGGAGGGGGGGGGAGATGGGCAGGCAGAGGTAGAGGGGAGAGAGTGGAGGGTGTAAGTAAAACATGGAAAAAAAGGAAGATAGGTACAAGTAGAGGGGAGGAAGGGGGTACTGAAAGAAGTGAGAGGATGTAGGAAGAGGAAAGGAAGAAGTAAAGGTATATGATAATGGCAGAAGAATGAACAGAGGAAGGAAATAGAGGGAAGCAAGTGAATATGTGTAGATCAGAGGGACGAGGAGAATAACAATTAAAGATAAATGAGTAAATAAACAGAGGAAAAAATATACAAAAAAGAGCATAATAACCGATCTACGAACCGTAATAATGCCATAACCCCAAAAAGAACGAAAGGAAAGTGGGTGAAAGAGGCCTGAAGAATAAGCAAAAGGTCGTATACATGCGAAGAGGCAAATAAGCAAAAGGTGATGATGGTGATGGATAGCCAACTTCCCGACGCGTGGGGGGTGGGGGGGAGGGGGTGAGCGGAAGGTGAGAGACAGGGAGGGGGGGGGGAGGAGAGGAGGAAACGGATGATGGCGTAGAAAACCTCTGATGATGGGAAATGCTTGATTGCAAGAGAGGAGAGAGGGGGAGGGAGGGATACAGAAAGAGAGAGAGAGAGAGAAAGAGCAATTTACGTCTCGGCAACCGCTAATTAGATTGTACTTGTTGCGTAGTTTTTTTTTTAATGAGGATGATGTTCTTTCCCTTCTGTTTATTACTGCGCAGAGACTTGGGTCGGATAATCGCGAGCTCGTTGTTCAGGGAAAGCTGATCGACAATTTTCTATTCAAAGAACGAATTTTTGTGTATTTTCCGTCCAGATGTTTCCAGAATGTTGTCGAAAGTCCATTATAAAATAGATATTATTACGTGGCTGATTTTAGAATGCGTCAAACCATGCCTTTGACTGTATGTTAAAGGAGCATCTGATCTCCCTTATATATATTTCGGAATAAATTAAATAATAATAATAATGATAATAATAATAATAATAATAATAATAATGACAATAATAATGATAATAACGAGCGAGGCAAAGAGACAACGCGAACGCATAATAAGGATAGAAAGTACGTAAGAGTAGAAAGTAGAAGTGAGAGAGAGAAAAAAAAGTCCTACAGAGGGCGTTGTGAAGGAGCAACAGGAAGTGGAAGGAGGTGGAGGAAGGCGAAGGATGGGGAGGAGGTGGAGAGGGTGGGGGGGGGGGGAGATCCTGCTACTTGGAGTGACTTGCAAACTCCTTGCACCTTCCCTCTCAGCCGACCATGATTTCGCTTCTCCAGAGTTATTACAAAATGTACCCTTGTTTCCCCCCGTTTATCTCCCTTTTTTTTTTCTTTTCTTTTTCGTCTTGTTCTTCATCGTGTTAATCTTCTTCGTTTATTTCTTCTTCGCCTTGTTCTTTTACTTCTTCTTCTTCTTTTTCTTGTCTCCTAAATCATCCACCGTCCGAGGTATTCT